CATCACCAAGAAATTCATAATAGACCCTAAATAAAATCATAAGCATTAGGCAAGTCATTAAACAATAATTTACCTATTCAATTTAATTAATCATATGCATGCTTTAATTTAATTCATAATTCCTAAGTCAAGCATAATAAATCTCTACTTATATCCAAATAGAAGAATTAATAAGGCATGTAATCAATATATATCAAGCTCCAATACATATAAAACCCAAAGAGGATAAACATACAACCACCCCTACCTTAATAGAGAATTGAATTTCTATAATCCAAAGCAACCAAGCTTAAAATGAAAAACCAAACTAAGGTTTTGTAGAGGTGAGTGAAAGGAAGCTAAAGTAATCCAAGCTTTAGGTTCTAAGGTGAGTGGAAGGGCACCAAAATGAAGCCTAAAACTTTAAACCAAGCTTTTCCTTCAATGGTGGCTAGGTTAGGGTTTGAGAGTAAAGAGATAAGAAAAATAAAATGAGAAGGAAGTGAGTGGAGGATTTAGTCTTCCTCCACTCACTATGTGCTCTTACACTACTTCTCACATACATACTAATGTAAGACTAAATATAGAGCTTACACTTGTCACTAATCCATGCATTCATCCAAGGTTTGATCTTAAGCCTATACTTGTCAACCATCCATGCCAACAAGTGCTCCTATCCTAGGCCAACAAATGGGTGAATATCCACCCTCTATGTGTCATCATACTAAGCCTCTAAGTGGTTCCACCACAATGTCAACAAGTGGCCCCTTGGGAGTGTGACACTTGTCACACTTTTTAAAAATTACAAAAAGGCTCATTTCCAAAATATCTTTCAAATTAAATTGCAAAATGGTTCCTAAGATGAAAAATAATTACTCTACTTAATTACACTAAAACCCTAAAAGTCAAGAGTATTTTCAATAAACTATGCTTCCATACCCTTTACAAGAAACGTAAACATCTAGCATACTTTTTTACAAAAGTAAAAATATAAATATCTTAGAAATTTAATATTATGGATTCATGCAAAGCCGGAATCAAATTCAAGTACAAAAAGTGAGGTTATGCAAATAAAAACGATAAACGGGAAAAAGACGAAATAGGAAAATGATGAAAATGGAAAAATAAAAATTAAAAAATACCGAAAAAAAGGAAAGGAGGGAAATAACCGGGTCATTACAATAAGTGTCTAAAAAGGGAAATAATACAAAATTTAACTAAAACGGAAAAATAAGATAGAATAAGATCCTAAAACATCCAAGATTAAGGAGTTTAAATGCGCACTTTTCAGCACTTATCAAGTGTCGGAAGAGAATTTTATATATAAAACGGGGAGTGACATTGCATTTCATTGCATTGCATTTCATTACATTTTAGTTATTTTTCCCAGGCAAGCATGACCCATCTACTTATAGCTATTCTTTGTGTGAATTCACGGAAGCATTAAGGAGTGTGGTTTAGGCAACTCCTACTTAGCTGTTGTGCTCACTTCATCCTTATTATAATTTTTTCAGGTCATGGAAAAGATGTTATTGAGGACGTCCCTCCACAAACTTAAATGGATTTGGAGTATTTTTTGTGACATTTCTTTTATGTAAATGTAATTTTATAATTAATGAATAAGCATGTATATTATGAACCGTATTCGCAGTCATGTGTTGTTAAGGCATGTAACAGTGGACTATAAGGACTTTATGCATGGTTAGCGCTTCCTTCTTTTATTTGATTTCATGTTTTACAATTCCACATGAATATAACCTTTGGATGGTGTGTCGGGACCGTACATTCTCTACAGTGTGCAATTGTAGGTTCACAACCCGGACTCCGATTTTGGGTCGTGACAAATATAATCGTTTTGGGGCTAATTTATGTGCATATGTATGTCAAGTGTTTTGGAGTTTTTGCATAAAAATGATTTATTACAGGTAGACACTTTTGGTGACCTTACATGGTGTTGGGAAACGTGCTAGTTTTAAAAACTTTTTTGAGGGATCTTGATTCATCACATAAAGACAAGTTTTATGCAAAAATAAAATATGATGTCTCATTCAATAAAACTAGATTGAATACTTACATCAAAGGTCTGAGTAAACCTTTAAATCTTTCCTCTAAAGTGAATGTTCTCACTTATTGTAGATCCCTTAGTAAGATGCCTTCTCCTTGGATCTCCATCTTATTGGTAATTGTTTTGCCTTTAAGAATCACTCATAAGCCTCCATGAATGACCTTGAAAAATTAGGCTTGTGGGAGCCTCCATTAGATGAGAACATAATTTTTCCTTCTTCCAAAAATCACCCCTAAAATATACATAGACCATATATATTTATAGAAAACATAAAGATAAAGAAAATGAAACAATAAATCCTTCTCAATCTCTAATTCACATGTCTCAAATCTAATAGGATTCCAATATCAAGTTGGGCTATGAGTGAGAATCCATTGGGCCTGTTATTTTATTGGTTACAATGAATTAATAATTGGCCCGGTCCATAGACCCAATTCAATTAATTCATAAATTAATTTCTACTCCACTACAAAAAATTAATTGAACTCCAATTAAATAATAAATAACCTCTAAGTCAATATCGCACTTTAACCACTTTATACATAATTAGTTATCGGATAAATAAAGCTATCAATCCGACTACTTAATTAATATATTTATTTTGGTACCTTTGATTATTTCTGGCTCGATCACAATAAAACATTTGTTTGACAAAAATAATAATTTAAATAAATAAATTTATAATAAATCATTTTGTCTAAAAACACACGAAAGCCTTCGAATTTATTTCGTGATCAACCATAATTAATACAAAATAAATACAAGTAGCAATGATGCAAATATTGAAAATATAACCCTTTAACTATTAATTACATAACTACCCAAAGTGTCGGTCTAAGGATCCCGAAAAATCCGCCTAATAAATCAAAGTAATTATTAATTAATAAAAAATTCTATACTTTTCTCATACTTAATAGTCAAATGCCTTGACGGTGATAAGGAGCAATTATATACGACGGTTCTCGCAATATATCTCAACCTAACGCGGATCCAGTTTAAGTCTTAATTAATTATAAGTCCATCCATAATTACTAACTATGAACAATTTATGATTACTATTTATATTCATATATTGATCGCCATCACATACATATATAAATATCTCTTGTAATCAAGTGGACACTATCAATTCTATAATGAATCGAAACATAATACATTGAATTCACCAATTGTATAAAGTATAAATATTTCAGAAACGTCAGGAACATATGTCATTATAATTCAGATAGGAATTTGCTATACCAGAGCATATAAATCCTAACACATGGGACTAAGGTGTTGCCCATGAATACAAAAATGGACATTAAGAGCCCATTTTGGTGGACTAGTCAAGCGAACCGTGGCTCTGCATTTTAGGTTCTGAAAATTGGACTAGTGTCCTTGCAGAACCTGTTGCTCAGTTTGACCTAGCCACTGTTCCGTCACCTTAACTTCAAACGGTTGTAATTTGTTTGTTTTAAATTTAAATGGGTCACATTTTTATCCAAACTGACGGTCTTAAAGTCAACTTTTTAGTAATATCAATATAATTTCAAAATTCACACTAAAAGATATTGTCATGAAGTAGTGTCATGAAATCTTAAAAGCCAAGGATGTCTTTTTGTAGGAAAACATTTGTTCTAGCAACGAGAATCCTATGAAATTTTTTAAATGTTTAAAATAATTTGGATTAACCCCATTTGACTAATTTTGAGTCAACTCACTCTCTCACAGTTTTGGAATGATTATTTTATTTCAAATTTAACTTTTTTGTCTAAATAAGAGTCCGATTCATTTTCATATCTGTTCATGACTCCGATCCTTGAATCGTGACATAACATCCTAAAAGAGTTATAAATTCACTCAAATATCATTTCCAGATGTGATTCTTCACTCTTCAATTCAACATACATACTTGTCCATACATTCGCGGGTGTTTGTGACATTGTTGCTTCACCGTATCAATCTTACAGCATGATTTTTTTACATTTCACTTTCTCTGCCACACAACACATTTCTTTTCCTCTATTCTTTTTCTTTCGCCTAACATTTGGACTCCTTGCGTGTTCCCCCTCACTGTAATTTTTTTTTAGCCACCCCTCACTGTTACACAACACTTACATATTATAATATATACTATTACACTACTTCTTACATTCACCGTCTCAATCTTACAACATGATTTCTTACATTTCACTTTCTCTGCCACACGACACATTTCTTTTCCTCTTTTCTTTTTCTTTTGCCTAACATTTGGACGACTCTACGTGTTCTTCCCTCACTGTAAATTTTTTTTTTTTTAGCCACCCCTCACTGTTACACACCACTTACATATATATTATAATATGTATGTATATATATATATATATATTACACTACTTAATACATGCACACAAGTTTTTCTCAATTATTACCTCTCCCCATATTCACTATTTGCTTCCTTTATTTTATTATCTTACATCATGGACATACGAGGCAGTATCAAATTTGGATTACACTTCTATAGTTCTAGTGTTTCCTTTGGTGGTCATAGGAGACAATGTCAAATTCAGATTGCATGCTACCATGTGAGTAATAGGTCTATTAGTTGTTTGGTACAAGCCTAGAGATAGGGTGTTCCAATCTCAATAGAAATATGAATATTTAAACACGAATAATATGACATGGTGTCGGCAACATTGTTACCATGTCAAATTCTAAATCCACTCATGTCAAATCAATCAAAAACCTCTAATGGAGCCATGTCAAATTAGACCAAGTCCTCGGAAACAAATCTATCCATTAAATAAATTATAGAGCCGTCACCAATGGAGTCATGTCTAAGAAATCAAAGCCCTCTAAAACAAATCTATCCTATGGAGTTACTTATAGAGTACGTCCTCACCGTCTATGCGCTCATTCATTTCTCCATATATAATTGAAGCTATGCTACAATACAAGACATATAATTAAAGTTTAGATTCACTTCATTGTTTGTGTGAAAGAGAGAGAGATCGATGGAAGGAGAAGGAAGAAGAGAAATAACCAGTAGAGAGGAAGAAGCAGCACAAGCCCAAGTGGACATATGGAAATATATGTTTGGGTTTGTAGATGTGGCAGTGGTGAAGTGTGCCATTGAGCTTGGCATAGCTGAGGTCCTGGAAAGCCACGGAGGTCCCATGACACTCTCCGAGCTTTCGTCCGCCCTTGGCTGCCCCTCCCCATCCGCCCTCTACCGTGTCATGAGGTTCTTGGTGCACCAGCGCGTGTTTAAGGAAGACTCCACAAGCCAAGGTATCATTGGCTATGCTCAAACACCGTTGTCCCGGCTGCTAATGAGACATGGTAAAAACAGCTTGGCCGATCTTTTGCTGCTAGGGAGCAGTCCGGCGGTGGTTGAGTCGTGGCATAGTCTAAGTGCTCGTGTTCTATCCATTGATACTTCAGCATTTGAGCTCGCCCATGGTGAGGACATATGGAGCTACGCAGCTAAAAATCCCGCCCAGATGAAGCTTATTGATGATGGTATGGCTTGTGATGCTAGGGTGGTTGTGCCGGCGGTAATTGAGGGCTGTTCGGAGCTCTTTGGTGGGCTGAACGTTTTGGTGGACGTGGGTGGTGGAAATGGCACTACTCTGAGCATGTTGGTTAAAGCCTTCCCATGGATTCAAGGCATTAACTTTGATCTTCCTCATGTTGTCTCTGCTGCTCCAAACTGTGTTGGCATTGAGCATGTTGGGGGAGACATGTTTGATAAGGTTCCCAAAGCGGATGCTGCTTTCCTCATGGTTTGTATTAATGTTAACATTATTAATTTCTCTCTTGATCCTCTTCCTCTATGGTATACTTTTTGTTTAAATTTAGACAGTTATAAAAACAAGTGTTTATTTAATAGTCTTTTATTTTTCTCTTAAAATTATTTTTTGTTCTAAATTATTAAGAACTATTTTTAGAGTTATAAATTAAATTTAACTGGCTTTTATTTTTCTCTTAAAATTAATTTCTGCTCTAAATTCTTAAAAATTATTTTTAGAGTTCTAAACTAAATATGTTCTAATTTTTTTTTAAGTATCATGATTATTTAGAATCCATGAGCCGACGTGTCTTATATTGGCATATATGAAACAGTCTGCGCATGGTTAGAATTGTTTAAGAATTTAAACTACAAGCTGGGCGACAAAATAAAAAACATGACTTTTTAACAAGCCTATTTGACTGGTTAGGTGTCAAGTCCCCATCGTTACTAACTGGTCTCAAAACCATCTTACCCAACACAAACAGCAACTTCTGCATGCACACGAAAAGAAAATAAAAAAAAATAATAATAATAATCCACTAAACCCCAGTCCCTTCCACTTTCAAATCAAACTCTTTTTTTGTTTATTATTTACACACACATGTCGTTTTTAAAATTTGAATTCTTGATCTTTCTTTAAAAAGTAAGAGGCCGATATCGCTAAGCCACTGGCCCATTAATAACCCTTTTATCCACATTAAAACTAACTGAATTCAAGGGGCTTTAATTATAATCATCAAAACTTATATAACAAGGACACAATATGATAAAGACATATTGACATGTCAAATTTTTAAAAAGTAAGATAAGGGTACGTACGGCGTGGACACCGCCAAGTATAAATATAAATTTTTATTTTTATACATCTATTCAATAATAGCATTATAAAACTTTAATTTATTTATAATTAAGAATTGCTCCGAATTGAATTAAATCCAAAATAAATTTATGTCATTATTGTAATAATTTTTGTATCATATATACCATTATTTCACTACTTTATCATCATAATATTCATATTATTTTCAAAATTACTGTGTAAACTTATGTTAAAAATACTTAAAAAGTATCAGCAAAGTGTTCGTGAAGTGTCGGCTCAGGAGAGCCACGTCACATTTTCATATAAGTCTTTTTAAATTTTTTTTTTTTTTTTTTTTTTTTTTAGGTAAAAGGGCTAGTCCTTTTAAAATTGAGTACACAATGTTATCATAAATCATTGCCCTTCAATTACGTGTCAATAAAACTACTTGTCATATAATAAACTATGCTTGCACTAAAATAAAACTCCGTACTAAAGTTTTGAAAGATAATCAGAAAACCGGCCTACACTTTCTGAGGTGATTACACTTGTGATAATGTAAATAAAATAAAGAAATCAATTTTTTTTGGATATATAATAATATATTTTTATAATTATATATTTTTTGTTGGTTTTGTGTTCTATTATTATTATTATTATTATTATGTCTAAAAGATTTGAAATGTAAGTAGGGTATAAATATTAGTCAAAACATGTATCAATTTCCTCAAGTCATCAGTAGCACTTCATTGAAATTCAAACTTTACTTTAGAATTTTGCTTAGACACACTGACCAAATGAAGGTTCTAACCTAACTTACGCCATCATTATGTAGACTGTTGGAGACGGATAGCTCCTGTGTAGAAGCAATAATTAATATATATTGAACACATTTCTAATACATACGTGCCTATACATATATATTTTTGGAATTGTAGTGGGTTCTGCATGACTGGGGTGACGACGAGTGCATCCAAATCCTAAAAAAATGCAGAGAAGCCATTCCAGAGGACAAAGGGAAGGTGATTATCGTAGAAGCCGTGATCGAAGAAGGGGAAGGAGACAAGCTCAAGTATGTGAGGTTGATGCTGGACATGGTGATGATGGCTCAAACAAAAACTGGAAAAGAGAGGACTCTGAAAGAGTGGGCATACATTCTAGGCAAAGCTGGCTTCAGCCGATACACTTTGAATCGCATTCAAGCTGTTCAGTCTGTCATTGAGGCCTATCCTTGATTTGCATATGAAGTGTTTCATAGTGTTCAAAGGATGATGAACACAATAAATATTGTGCGAATAAAGCTTTATATAAGCATAGTCTCTGTTGGGATTAGGGTTTTAGTAATCGAGTGAGATTTCCCAGCAAGGATCTGTTTGGTTTAGCCTTTAAAATTTAGTACTATGTTCTGATAATGTTTGAATTTTATTCAATGAACAGCTTGAGGAGACTGTGATAGTTTGTTAATTATATGTAGACCGTTTGACCTTCAACTAATTTTGTGAAAACAATATTTAGACACACTTAAAAGCACATAATTAGGTTTATTCAATATTTGGTCAGTCCAAGAAACATAGATGACTTTGACAGGCTCGTAACCTGAACTCAGATCATCGTGACAAATCTTTTTTATTTACAATTTTTATTTCCCAATGCTTTGGGTCAATGACTTTGATTTTTTATTTTTTCTTCTAAATATTTAATCCAATAAACTAATGTGGATTTGGTGAAATTTGTGTTAAAATGTCTAATGCCATGTGAAATGAAAAATAAAAAGTCCACAATGATGGTTGTTTTGTTTAGATCACAATTAATAAGAAGTAAAAATTATGGTAGGTTAGTATGAGTCGTGCAGCGAAATAAATTGTGAAAAGTTAAAGTTTTTATTTAGGGAGGATATAATCATGCACCTTTCTTTTCAATTAGCTTTACTTATATTAACAAATAATTAAACAATCACATGCAGAATAAAAGCATGTAAAACAAATAAAGTTTAAGAGATGACACTAGAATTTTTAGCGAGGAAATTCCGATTGGCAAAAGAGACCAATCGTTGTAGGAAAAACCTCGTGTATTGTGCAGTCTAGAGCAAAATGATCCAATATGTTTGAAACAAAATACAATGAACTTTGACTCAGGCTCACACCCAATCGTTCTACCAAAAACCAATTATTGCTGACAATTTCTACCTTTACGATGTCCCATCCAACAGCTCTCGACCCCAGGCTTACACTTGATTCCTGTAGAAGGATTGTTGGTAGATCAAACAACATTTCTCAAATTTTTGACCCTTTCAAAGTGTGATCACTTCACCTATTTTCTTCAAAATTTGAATTTGATGTTGAAAAAAATAAATTTGTTTTCTCTTATTGTTGTAGATTCAATATTCAATACACTTTGAATACGATCAGGATTTGAACAATACCTAAATTCACTAGTGTGCATACAGTGTGTATGCTCTCAAAAATCTCACCAAAAGGCTTTTAATAAAATCAGAATTTTAATATAAAAAGTTACACAAACCTAGATGAGAAAATATGTTTATATAGATTTTCAAAAACCTAGATATGCTTGGAAAATAAGTTAAATTCATGCATAAGTATTTTGGAAAGAAGTTTATACCAAATAAAATGTTTAAACAAAACAGGAAACAAAGTTACCAAAATCTGCTGAAAACCTTGAACCGATTTAGAGTCATTGAACCGGTTCAAGTTGCCCAGTGAATTAAAAATTTGAAGCATATATCTTGAACCAGTTCAAATGTTTGGAATCGGTTCAAGTTGGCCAGACTTGAACTTGAAGGATTAACACTTAGAAAAATTTGGAGATATGCAATTTTGAAAAACTTACGATGTATGTAAGTGTCCTAACCTTCTAGCTAACTCAACTTCCTAAAGTGTTATTCATACATTTTCGTAGACTTCAAGCTATTACACACGAACAACTCTTTAATTCCACAACCGATCTCGATATTGAATTTTAAACTTAAAAATACAACTCGATTGGACTTGTTTTGACACCGAAATTAGCCAATTACAAATATATATATCTCACAATCTCCCCCTTTGGCAATTTCGTAACAAAACTAGCTCTAAAAACCAATGTAATCTATCCAAGCAAAAAAAGAAAATTACAATTTGACAAAACACGAAAAATTTGTTTTTCTTTTTCTTGAAAATCTTTTCTTGATCATTACTTCACCTATTTAACTGCACAAAGATCAAACAAAACTACCAATGAAAATTTAATATTGAAAAAATATATATTAGAAAACTCCTCCTGAATTGAACATCTTTCTCCCCCTTTTTGGAACAAATTGACAAAGATTATGAAAGATAGAAAAGATCAGTGCATTAAGATGAAGCAAGTCATATAGATAAAAAATAAAATAAAATAAAATAAAATAAATTCCAAAATAATGACAATGTCACCTTAAGAACAAAAACATGATGCATATGAGTATATAAACATGTAAGCACAGATCATGAGCAAAAGAAAACTGATAGTCAATACTGACAATCAATCATCAAAATTTTCGTCATCAAAAGGAACAGTAGTGGTCACATCATCGCCATTATCACTCCCATCTTCCTCATCATCATCATCATCTCTCATAGATGTCTCTGGAGGTGCACCAGCCTGTTGCGTCCTAAGCATCTTCACCTCTACCTTGAGATCTCGTATCTCATCCATGATCCTTTCAAACCTAACATTCTAATTCTGAATCAGTGATGAGTACATCAAGTTAGCAACATCTCTAGAGAAATTCCTTTTTGAGGAAAATAATTTGTTAGAATCCGGAATTTAAGATGATGTATCATCTGAGCCTCTCTGTGCCTTTCTTGCATTCTCCCTTGTAGTCTTGGACTTGTTTAGAGCACAAAGATACAACTCAAACATGATGTTCTAATGACAAGCCCAGGGAGGAATCATAATTCTATTCTTCCTATAGAATCCCACAATCACCATAGAAAATGGAGAATAATTATTTTGAGAATTTTTCTTGTAATGAGCTATATTTAATTACACAATGGATATGCAATATGAATTTGTGCTCCTATCGCAAGAAGATATAGAACTTGAGCTCATTCTAAAGTGATTTCATCTTTCTTCCAAAAATATCCCAGGTTAGCCATAGCAAACAAATTTAAGAATGCCGCTTCATTAATGAGATGACGAGATAGAATGTAATGATCATACCTTAGAGATTTTGTAACACAAGGAGCGTAATGAATCTCTGGCAATTTTGGACCTGGAACTTCAATAGGTAAGATATATCCCGTACTTCCAACTCTTTTAGGATCTCCCAGAATAGGCAAATTTCATCTTCATGGACTAAATAGTCAATGCCAAAGATTGATACTTCAAAATATTTATCATAAACTTTGCGAGTATTGGAATAGAAGTAATGAACCATGTCCGGTGAAAAACCACCTTCCAGTCGAATGAAAAAGATCAAATTCTTCTTCTCAATATACCCCACAAGTTTCTTCCCTCACTACCTCTTAGCTTGTTCAAACTAACATTCCTTTCTATCTTGATTGGTCCGTCCTTGTAGACATTATTGTAAGCTTTCCAAGCAAGTTCATTGTAGAAGTGTTCTTCAATGAACTCAATCTTCCCAGTAGCTGAAACTGATGGATACCCAGCTGGTATCTCATAAGGAGGAGAATTAGACGCTATGGGAAAAGATGGTACATCCAAAGAAGTACGTGACTTATCGTGAGGCTCACGAATGACAACGCCAGTTCTAGCATGCTTCAATGGTTTAGGAGTTGCAATTCTCTTTCCTTTAGCTTCTTTAGACAATCTTCGAGCCATTTGGTCTTCGGAAAAATTCACTTTGAGGCTTCAAAACTCTTTCAAGAATTTTGTCAAACACTTGGTGTGCAACCCAAATTGTTCTTGCAAAAACCTTGAGTTTAATCCTCTAAATCTGTCAATAAATCAAACCACAATCTAAAAGCACAACAAATGTACCCCAAATACTTCAACCTTCTTCACCAAAAATGATTTCAACACAAATTAACCAAAAACATCAAGTTTACTTAACCCAACCTCCACAAACAAATCCCAACTCCAATTCTTCCTTCAATATCACAATGATGTAATAGAACACAATTTTGCAATAAGAAAATAAGATTATATGAAGTTATAATGCAAGTTTTTGAGATATAGGATTTTATGTATATATGTATGCAAGAGAGGGTTGATGGGAGGTCAAAAACACAGCCAAGGAGGGGTGCCAAGTGACCAACAGTGTGCATGAGAGGAACTTAAGCGCCCAGTTTTCAGTGCCTTGAACTGGTTCAGGGGGTGGAACTGGTTCAAGATAGGCTGTTTCAACTTCAAAACTGCCTTGCATTCTTGAACCGGTTCAAGGTCATGGAACCGATTCAAGTCCTTTGGAATTGAATCCACGGACTAAAATTTTCAAAAAAATTTTAAATCTTATCTCAATCACCCAATGATCAAAAATAAAGAAAGAATCTTTTGGTTTTTTTTTTTTTTTTAAAATAAAAAATAAAAACATTGATTAATTCAATCTCATAATTTTCAAGTCAACATATGATCAAAATTTCCAGAGAATTTTATGAATGGCTATGAACACAAATTTCCAAAGAATTTTATGAATGGCTATAACCATGTCTCGGCTCCTAACGAGACATGGTCAAAACAGCTTGGCCGATCTTTTGCTGCTAGCGAGCAGTCCGGCGGTGGTTGAGTCGTGGCATAGTCTAAGTGCTCGTGTTCTATCCATTAATGATACTTCAGCATTTGAGCTCGCCCATGGTGAGGACATGTGGAGCTACGCAGCTACAAATCCCGCCCAGAAGAAGCTTATTGATGATGCTATGGCTTATGATGCTAGGGTGGTTGTGCCGGCGGTAATCGAGGGCTGTTTGTAATACCCCTAATTTTAAAAGGATAGTCTCGGTATTTATTTATTTGTTTTAATTATTTTTTTTAATTATTTAATTAATTATTTGACTAATTGCTTATGTGTTTAATTGAATTAGGTATTACTTGATTATTTGATTATGCGTCTATGTATTATTTGTATTTGTCTATGTGTTAATTGTTTAATTAGATTATGTGCTTAAATGGTGTTTTGATTAATTGTAAATTAAATGTTTTCTTTTCTTTTCTTTTATTATTTTATTTTATTTTTCTTTTATGGTTATGGTTAGTAGTAATGGGCCAACCAATTGGGTCCCATAGACTACTTGGATAGGAGGTTGGATGTGTATGGATTATTATCCATGGATAATGTATGTATATATATATATATATATATATATATTATATACATATATAAAAAGAAAAGTAATTTATTAATTATTTTTATGGTAACTTGGGTAGTAATATTTAATCTGATGTATATGTTTTATATTTAAATAATAAAAATATACATAGATTTGATACGTGTTATGTTTTAAGTTACTTTATAATATTATGGTAACTTA